TAATATACATCTTTGCCTCTCAACGGTCAGTGGCTTCCACTATCTTCAAAACACTTTCCTCACTTTATTTCATGTATATCAGTGCCAGACTAAGGCTGAATTGTGCGCCATGTTTTAAACTATCAGGTGGAATTGATAACTCAATTTGGTCCAAGTTGGTTATTCTGTCTTTTAAAATTAAACTCCAGAATTCATTTTTTAAAATCGTCTCTGCACCCCCTTCTCCCTCTTCCATGCTCCTTAATTGTTCCCAATTAAGCAAATTTTAGCAGCTCATCAGTATGGTGGTATTTTTTATGAAAGGAACAACTAAATTATGATCCAATATTTCCAGTGAGTACTGTAAGGTTGTCTCCGAATGCCCTTTTCTCATTACATGTCGTATTTGAGATGTTTTAGAGACACATGCCAATCGCTACCTTAAAATTACAAAGTTCTATCAGACATTGTTTGCTGTTTTAAGTTACTAAGACCATGAGGCCAGATTACTAATGTTCTACTCCTGCCCCCATAGAAGGTTTTGAGGCAAATATTTCATTATAAACATACGTTCTTTCCCTGACCTGTGCATTCATTATTACACCGTTTCTTTCTAGACGACATACAGTCTGAAAGCACAGGCTATAAATTGAGCATCCCACCTCCGTCTCTTTAATATATCTTTCACATCCCCTCCAGTCCCTTTGTTGTAAACTTGTTTATTGTCGTTTTGCTAGCGGTTTCTTCTTTCTTTTACTTCTTCTCCTCCTCATTCTTCTTCTCCTCCTCATTCTTCTTCTCCTTCTCCTCCTTTTCCTCCTTTCTTCTTCTTCTGCCTTTTCCTTTCCTTCTCCCTCTCCTTTTCTTTCTCTACGTGCTGGTGCTCCTGCCCCTACTACTCCTTCTCTCCCTCTCTCTACTCCTATTCCTCCCCCACTCACACCTCTGTTTTATTCCATCATTCAACACCACATCATGATAATTCCTCCCTTGTGTCAGATCCTGGTACTTGATGAGGCCACCTCGTCTATCGACGCCACCACTGAGTCCCTGGTACAGCAGACGATACGAGAGTGCTTCAGGAACTGCACGGTGCTCATGATAGCTCACAGAATCAACACAGTGTGGGACTGTGACAAAGTGCTCGTCATGGAGGCTGGCAAGGTCAGCGCTTTGTGTCATAATAATATATTACTTGCGTAATTGTTATTTTTATCTATATTATTATTAAGTGGTAGTAGTAGTAGTTGTATTATTGTTACTATCATTATCATTATTATTATTATTATTATTATTCTTATTATTATTATTATCATCATTATTGTTATTACTGTTGTTGTTATTATTGGACCATATATTATTTACCATCAACGCATTGATGAGGCAAAACGTTATAACTCTGAACAATAAGCTAAAAATTTTTTTTTTTTCTAAAAAAGAAAATAGCTTAAACTGAGTGTTTTGCGAACAGGAATCTATAAGGCTGTTTGTATTTATCCGACCCGTATGTTCATGAGTGTATTTTATTGTGTGATCTAAAAGTGCTCGGTAAAAGTCTAGTTGAAGTCTCAAGTTGAAAGAGTCTGTCGACCATGACGTCATGGCTTCCAATGTATTGGTCTCTCTAGGAGGGAAGACCCTAAATCTGCATTAATTTATGGATCGAGTACTTCCGAAGGAACGTCTCAAATTTATGGACCAAGTACTTCCGAATGAACATCTCAAATTTATGGATCAAGTACTTCCGAATGAACATCTCAAATTGACCTCTTACCGTGTCTTCTTTAGTTCAATAAGCTGCCACTGTGTTGTGTTGGGTTGGACATGGATCATTTGAATGTACCAACTGCTGTCAGTTTTGTGTTTGCATGGCATGCTTCAACTTAAAGACTACTGGCATAGAACAAGTATATAAAACTTGTATTTCGTATACAGGCCGAATAGATACAAGTCAGATGCTGCTGGATTGGATAAGTGAAGTATTTCCTTTTTGTCCAGCTGGTGGAAGCTGTGAAAATGATTTGTTAACATTTTGTTTCTGAAATCACAGCCATTATGTCATTACGATATTCTTGCTGCTTTTTCCCTGCGAAAAAAATATTTAATTTGCTTATTCTAAGACACTAAACAAAAGAAGAACCAACTATCAGATGTATAGATCTACATGTAATTTTATTGCAATTCTTTTTATTCACAGGCTGTGGAGTTCAACCACCCATCAGTACTCTTGCAGAAGTCTTTCTCACGTTTCAAAAATATGTTTGACGTCATGAAATCCACGCCCAGAGGGGCGTCAGTCAACGAAGACCCACCCCAAAACGAAAGAACGTCCTACCCGCGGCCTTCCACATCCCCTCGCCTCACGTCAGCTTCTCATCTGCGCATGTCTTCGACGTCCCCGCTTGGAGATTTATCGTACCTTAGGGACTCTGTCATTTATGATGATGATGATGCTGACGCCGTTTTGTGAAGTCTTAATTGAAAATTTATCATTTTGATGACAGTGTTGTGAGGTCATAATTAATCTTTATAATGGCCAAATTGTGTTGTTAGGTAATATTTAATAATTATGACAACGATGCTGTGTTGTTAGGTCATAATTATATGTCGCAACATTGGATTGTTGGAAGTGGGAACCTTTGACTGATCTTCAAAGCAGTACACATCCAGGAAACGAATATTTGTACGGCTGGGACTACAAATGACTTGTATATATATACAAATATACATATATATATATATTTGTGAGTGTGTTGAGATAGATAGATAGATAGAGAGATAGATAGATAGAGAGAGAGAGAGAGAGAGAGGGAGAGAGAGAGAGAGTGTGTGTGTGTGTGTGTGTGTGAGAGAGAGAGCAGGCGAGAAAGATATCTTTTTAAAGAGCATTTCTTTATTTGTTCACGTGAGCGAACGTTTGTGCACGTGAGAGAGAAAGGGAAAGAAGGCGATTGAAAGGAGAAGGAGAAATTAATATAAAGAGAAGATAGATAGATATCTTAGAGGAGGATGGACAAATATAGGATGTATACATGCATATATAAATAACGAGATAGCAAGAGATAAAAAGGGAAAGAGAGAGAGCTCGTGAG